GAGGTTGCAAAACGCTTCGATGGGGGGTTGGCTCCGCCAGCAGCACCCGCCAGTGCACGAAGCGGCCGCCCCCCACCGCCGCCCCGCCCCCCCCTCGGGCCCCCCCGGAGCGCCCCGCGCAGTTCCTGGTGGGACAGGGGCGACGCAGCGGATGGCTTGCCGCGCGCCCCGGGCCCCAGGGCGGGCGCCCCGCGCGGCTCGAGCAGCTCCTGGAGCGCGGCCGCCGTCGCAGGCGTCGGGGGCGCTGGCCCTGGGCCCACCAGGAGCGCGGCCGCTCTGGAGTACACCCCTGCCGGCGCTATCCGGATCACCGCGTCTGCAAGGTGGCCGCCGCCGTCTCGGCGCTCGGCCTTGGCCCCTCGGCGCGCCCGCGCCGAGCTCTGGGCGGCCAGTCGCGCCTCCACCAGTCCCCCCAGGCGCCTTGGTGGAGCTGCGAACGCCGCGGGCGGATCAGCCCAGCCCGCAGAGCAGGTTCGTTCCCAGCCTGGCGTCTCACACCTGCGCCGCGCTTCAGCGGCGCCGAGAAAAGGCGCCTCTCGCAGAGCGGCAATAGCTTCCAGGCGCGCCCCCTCGCCATGCCGCCGCGCGGCGCGCGGAGCACAGCCGTGCAGAGCGCCTCCGCGGCCTGCGCCGCCGCGCCCCGCGCCCCGCGGGGCGCGAAGCGGAGCCCGTTGGGCGGTCCGCCGCAAGCTCGCCCAGCAAGTCCAGGTCGTCGAGCCCGCCCCAGCACGCCGCCCCCAGGTCCTGGAGCGGCGGCAGCGGCTGCAGCGCTGCGGCGCGAGGCGCGGCCGCCCCTGCAGAGGCCCCCCGCGCAGGTGGCGCTGCCTGCCCGAGCGCGTCGCCAGCTCCAGGCGGGCCTGGGGCCCCAGCCGCGGGCGCGGCGCTGGCGCCAGCGGCGGGGGCGGGCTCGGCGCCCAGAGGCGCGGCGGCGGTGGCCGAGGCGGCCTCGGCGGTCGCGCAGCCTCGGCAGAGCAGCGCCTCGCAGGCCTCGCAGTGCTGAAGCCAGCCGCCCATGGCCCCCTCGCCGCAAGCAGCGCGAGCTTCTCTGGGGAACGCGCGCGAGACGCGGAGCGGCCCTTCGCAGCCCGGGCAAGCAAGCGGCGCCCCCGAAGCCGGCCCGGGGTTGCTACCCTCGCCGACGCGCTCGCCGGGGTAGCCGCAGAGCCGCCTCAGCGGTCTGGGGTTGTGTTTCGTTTGGGCATGTAAACTGCCCCAAGGAAAGAAATCGCCAAAACATTGATCAATCATGAAAAAACACGAAAACCAATCACAACAAAAAACATGGATTTTCCAAGAAATCACACGGCCATCACGGATGCCCCACAGCGAACATAAAAAACATCACTAGATATGTCTGACTACGGAGGCGCCATGTGCAGCGCACGTCCCAACGTGGACGCACCATCGTTGCGCCGTAGCGCTAGTCCGCCACATCTGTTGGGCACAAGCCATCACGCGGCCCCAACACACCTGCGAACAAACCGAGAAGTGCCAAAACCTAATCAGGGAAACACAAGAGGTCCGAGCAGACGCGTGGAGCATCAAACGACACTGCGCGCAAGAAACCGCAGGGCCCGAACGGACCGGTGGAAACAACGGCCCTCCTCAGCGACGCGCGCTTCCACGAACGCCAGAAGCACGGCGAAATACGCAGCCAAGCAGCCAGGCTAAGGCTCGAGCCAATGCCAAACCGAGCAGCAAGGGTGGGTAACCAACCACGTGAAGGCAAACACAGCTGGGCGCTGTGACGGGACAACGACCCTACGGGAAACGCCGTGGGGCCCAGGGTGCGCCCCCTGTGATTGTGCGCGGGGTGGGTGGCGGGTGGGTGGTGGGCGGGTGGTGGGTAGGTTGTGGGCGGGTTTCAGGTGTGATGCGTGGGTGCTGGAGCGTTGGGTGGGTGGTAGGTGGGTGGTGGGTGGGCGGTGGGGCGGTGGTAGGTGGGTGGTGGGTGGTGCTTGGGTTTGGTGCGTGGGTGCTGGACTGGTGGGCGTGGTGGGTGGGCGGTGGGTGAGGGGTGGGTGGGCGGTGGGTGGGCGGTGGGCGGGCGGTGGGCGAGTGTGTGCGTGGTGGGTGGGCGGTGGGCGGGTGGTGCGTGGGTGTTGGAGCGGTGCGTGGTCTTGGCAGGTTGAGGGCACGCGCAAAAGCGAGGGCAAGGGGAAGTGGGGGGAAGGGTAAGCAGGAGTAGGGGAAGAGGGAGGGAGAGGATGGAGACGGCAGGTGCTTCTGGATTCCGTTGTGTCCCCGGCCATCGTGTAGTGTTGGGTCCTCGTGTTGATGGGGCAGTGCCCCGCGTCTCACTCCGCGTTCTTCCGCCCCCTCCTCCCTCCTCCCATCATCACGATCGTCGCACTATCATTCTCGCCACCGCCAACGCCACCCATGTCGGCCCCCCTCCTCGTTCGGCACACCCCTGACACGCTTCGTGGCCCCATGGGGGGCCCCACCGAAGGTCCCAATGAGATTGCCCGCGTGCGCCCGCCACGCCCAGCACAGCGTTCCGCGGCCTCATAGCTACCTTCACCGACGGTCCCAGTGGGGCCGCCCGCATGCGTCCGCCACGCCCAGTGCAGCGCTTCGTGGCACCAGATGGGCCCCCACCGAAAGCCCGAATGGGACCGCACGCGTGCGCCCGCCACACCCAGCACAGCGCCCCGTGGCCCAAAAGGGATCCCCAACGAAGGTCCCAGTGGGACCGCCCGCATGCGCCCGCTGGACCCAACACAGCGATTGGCGGCACCATAAGGAGCCCCACCGAAGGTCCAAGCGGAGCTGCCCGCACGCGTCCGCCACGCGGCACAACGTTTCGTGGCCGCATAGGGGGCCCAATTGAATGCCTTATTGTGACCGCCCGCGTGCGCTCGCCACCCCCAGCACAGCGCGTCGTGGCCCCATATGGATCCCCACCGAAGGTCCTAATGGCATTGCCCGCATGCGTCCGCCACGCCCAATGCAGCGCTTCGTGGCCCCGTAGGGAGCTCCACCGAAGGTCCCAGTGGGACGGCCCGCGCGCTCCCGCCACACCCAGCATGGCGCGTCGTGCCCCCCTGGGGGGGCCAACCGGATGTCCCATTGGGACCGCCCGCGTGCGTCCGCCACGCCCAGCGCAGCGATGCGCTGCCCCATAGGGGGTTCCATCTAAGGCCACAGGAGGGGCGCCCGCATGCGCCCGCCACACCCAGCACACCGCTTCGTGGCCCCATAGGAAGCCACGCCGAAAGCCACAGTGGGACAACCTGCGCGCGCCCGCGCACCCAGCGCAGCGCGCCGTGGCCGCATAGGGGGCCTTGCCGAAGGCCCCAGTGGAACAACCCGCATGCGCCCGCCACACCCAGTACAGCGCTCCGTGTCCCCATCGGAAGTTCCACCGACCGTCCCAATGAGACCGCCCGCATGCGCCCGCAACTCCAAGCACAGCGTTTCGTGCTCCCACATGGAGCCCCGCCGAAGGCCCCAGTGGGGCCGTTCGCACGCGCCCGCCACACCCAGTACAGCGCGTCGTGGCAGCATGGGGATCTCCAACGACTGCCCCAGTGAGGCCGCCCGCATGCGCCCGCCACACGCAGCACAGCGCTTGGCAGCACCATTGGGAGCTCCAGCGAAGGCCCCAGTGGCACCGCCCACCATCCACTACAACGTTCGTGGCCCCACATGGAGCTCCACCGAACGCCCCAGAGGGAACCGCCCGTGCGCGTATCCCGCCCACTCAATACGGCACGCCCCATCACGCGGCGCGTGGTCCACCGAACGTGGCATTGACAACGCGTTGCCTACAACTGCAGATGGCCGGGTCTTTCGCCAGGGTAACCCCACCAGCCTTCTGGGCGTAGGTGGTCTAGGGGGATTGCCCTTCCAACCCCTTGTATTCCCCTTCGGGGAGGGGCTTGCCCCTCATCCGCCGCCCCATCCCCTGGACCTGGACGGGGCGCACCGCGAGGCGTCAGGGGACACGGCTTTGCACGACGTGGCCCCAGGATGGCTTCAGAGCGCCAGCGATGACCTCCAAGATGGCCCGCGATAGCCCATGATGCCTCAAGTCGGCCCCCCAAGATGCCCCAGGAGATTCCCAGAGCGCTTCAAGGCGGCCCCACTGCGCCCCCAAGACCTCCAAGGAGGCCCCCACGAAGCCAACATCCTTCAACCACCTACGGAAGCTCAGTTGTTGATGTCTCACCGTTTCGCTTCCGATGGCCATCCGACGTCCCAACAATGGTCCCAACATGGTCCAAGAAGGCCCCTGGAGGGGCCCAAGAGAGCCCCGCGACGGCCCCACGTGCGCCCAAGAGCGCCCCAAGAGTGCCCTATGCAGGCGCTACAGTGCGATGTTGGGGGCTCCCGAGCGCGTGGCGCTACGTCAAGCACCCCCTCGCGTTTGATCGACGTCCTCCAAAATGGACCCGCGAGCGCCCCTGGAGCTCCCAGGGGCGCCGCGATAGGGGAATGAGAGGCGCCCAGGCGGCCCCAGGAGGCCCCCGAGAGGACCCCAGAAGACCCAATACGAGGCCTCAAGAGGACCCCCGAGGTACCTATCACTACCTCATTATCCTTATCATCCTTCTCGTCCTCTTCGTCATCGCCCTACTCCTCATCCTCCTCCTCCTTCTCATTCTCCTCCCCCTCTTCCTCCTCATCCTCCTCCGACGGCGGGTCCTCCTCCATCCCCCCCCTCTTGAGGTAAACGACGGCATCCCTCGCCCTTTATTCGTCTGCATGCCTCCTCACTTCCCTGACCACCTCAACTCACCAGGGTATCGTTTCTAGATGGGCTGGCAGAGGTACGCGAAACATCAGGAATGTTCGAACGGCCCTGCCGCTCTCGCACAGGCGTTGCTTCCGAGCTCGTGGCGAGCTCGCCTCAAACAAACAGTCAGAGCGTGTGAGTCCTGATCCTTCTCCGTCGCACCTCTCTTTCTCGTCCCCGTCCTAACCCTCGTATCCCCCTTCATCTCCTCCCCCAGTCGCCAGCGCCAGCCGACGAGTCCACTCGCAAGCTGTCAGGCTCACACTGATGGCACACCCCCCTTGGCGGGCTGCTTCTTGATGCCCAGGAGGGAGGACTCGTTGTACAGGTAGGTCTTGAGGGGCTCAAACACACGGCCCTGGACACCATCGGACAGCTTCTCGAGCGCCTTCCTCCCCCCATTGAGGTTCCTCTTCTCCTCGGACGCCTGCATGTCGCACGTCGCGTAGTGCATGACCATGCCCTCCGTCACGGTCGCCCTGCCGTCCTCCAAGTAGCCCTTCAATTCTGCCATCACCTCCGTATTGTCAGTGATCGAGAACATCTCGAACTGCTCCGTAGTCGCGCGGTGCATGGCCTCGCAAGTGGCGAGGTTGGCGTTGAATTTCTTCACGTCGAAGCTCGCGCGCAGGATCGTGGTCGTAGCTCGCTCTTTGATCGCTGTCCAATCCGAGTCCTTGTCAAGCCCATCGTGCCACTTGGAACCGTTGTCTGTGCCGCCGCAGAGCTTCTGGATGTCCCAGTTGCCGAACTGGTTCGCGAGCCCTGCCAACAAACTGGTAGCCACTGCGTTGCGAAGCGATTGTGCCTCCTCCACGTAGGCAGTCACGACGGGGGTGATGCCCTCGAGCGGGAAGTACGTCACGCTCTCGATGCTTGCTGCCTGCCAGGCGGTGAGGGCGCTGACGAACGCCAGCGACTTGACGAGGCCAGCGTCCAGCTCCACCCTGCTGGCCGCGTCCTTGGCCAACCTCGCCCACTCCTCGTACGAGTTCAGCAGCGCCAGTAGCTTGCTCACGACGCCCTTCGCCACCATCGCGTCGTCGCAGGCGAGCTTGCCCAGCACGGCCGAAATCTTCTCGAGCAAGTCTGCGGCTGACCTCACGCCATCGTTCCCCACTTTCTTCACGTTCTTGGCCACGTACCCGAGAAGCGGGATTGCCAGCCCGCCCAATACCTCAACACCTCTGGGGACGTCGGCGAACTTGCCAGACACCGCCATGTAGTCCTGGCACTTCTGGGAGTACTTGGAAAGGTCCAGGGCGTCGAAGTCCGTAGTCTTCGAGAGCTGCTCCATCTCTGTAACGAATGCGGTCCCAAACGACAAATCAGAAGCACCGCCCAGCGCACGCTGAGCATTGGAGATGGCGGCCTTGATGGAAACAGCGAGGTTCGGGAATACACCAACGCACTCAGTCAAGATACCGAGCTTGACCTCCACCTCGGAAACGATGCCCTCTGTCGTCAACGACTGCTCGATTCAAAGCGCATCGACGTCGGTGATCATGGCTGCGATGCGGGTCTGGAGCGCCGCGCAACGGCACGACACCTCCGCCGCGGCACCCCAGCTCCCAAGACGGCAAGTTCTTGACGATGTCCGCCACGACGTCGTCGCCACAGCCCTTCTGGATATCGGAGTTGGCTTCATTGATTTTCGGCTGGACCCCGAGCGAACCACCCTTCACCGTGATGTCATCCCAGGACTGTTTCAGCTTAGCCGACTCCTGGATGATGGAGACCAGGGATACCTGGAGCCCAGTGAGAGTCTTGTTCTTGACAGCCGTCTTGATGTTGGCGACCCCCTGTATGTGAATGGTATCAGAAGGGTCCAGTAAGCACTGCAACACATTCACGATGCCGATGGCACCCTGGAACGCCTCGATGGTGGCGTCGGGGATGTCCAGGCCGAAGGCGTCGAGCTTCTCCAAGATCGCCTGCGACGCGTCGCCGAACAGGCGCTCAGATGCCGAACACGAAGCCACCAAGGCAGGCAAAACGTATGGACCAAAGTACTGCGTGAACAAGGTGGCCAACTCCTCAGGGGATCCCTCGATCAGCGCCAATTGCGGAGACATCGGCTGGAAGTCATGCTCAGCGTCGTCATGTTGGCCCTCCGTGGATCCACCCTCGCAATCGGCTTTGAGGACGAGCGGCAAGATGTGCTCGAGCGTTTGGCTGATACGCTGCTTGCCCACGTGCTTGTCAGCCGTCAGGCGAGACATGGTGTTCTCGAGGAGTGCGATCTTGATGGAGGTCGGGTGCTCGAAGTCGCTGCCAATGGTCGCGATCCTCGCCTTGAGAGCCTCTGCATCTGCCGTCTTCTGAATGGCATCCACTGTCAAGTCGACTGCCGCCTCAACCTTGTCGACGTGGGCCTTGAGGTTCTTGTACTGCGGAGTCGTTCGATCTGGAATTTTGCGCAGTAAGTCCTTCGCCCAGCGCAGGTCGGTCTTGTACGGGCCACCCTCCATGATGGCTGACACGTTGAGCTTCTCCTGGTACCTGTTGACCTTCTTGGCCCACTGATCCTTGCTGGTGACGTCGATCGGACTGGCGGAGAGCAGCGAGGGCGTTGGGCCTGCCTCGAGCGCCGTGGAGGGCGTGACGGACATGGCACGCTCTGGCCTGCGAGATGCCGCCAGCGCCGCAATCGCACTGGCGCCTGAGGTGGCGGGGCCGCGGCTGGGGCCCGCCTCCGGGTGCGCACCAACGGACTCCACCTCGGCGGGCTCCGAAGACCGGCTCCCGTCCGCTGCCTCGTCGTCCGCATCATCGCCCGCCTCGGCCGCGCCCTCGCCCTCGAGGTCCTCGGGGACACCGCCGTGGGCCAGGTTCTCGAAGTGGCCGAGGTCGAACTTCACGTTGCGCAGCTTGGAGAGGAGATTCGCCTTCAGCATCTTGGCCTTTCGGGCAATCGGATGCGGGGGGGCACATAGGGTGCCGCCCCAAAAAAAAACATGCGTTTTGTTTTCAAGGGGCTGCCCCCCCCAAAAAAAAATAACACATGTGTTTTTTTTTTTTCAAGGCGGCTCGCCAGTGGACCTCTGAACTCTGAATTCTGGCCCTGGGATCACCTGGTTCGGTGAGAGAGGGAGGGCAAGAGAGATAGAACGCACGAGCAAAAAAACGAAAGAAATCACAGAGACCACACCTAGGACCAAGGACCTCGCTCTACAATGATCTCAGGACGCTTGGGGCGTCTCCTCATCCTCCGCCTCGTCCTCCTCATGCTCTTCCTCGTCACTTCCCCGCTCATCCTCACCTTGTATCCTCCGCCCTCCCCCGCTCCGCTCCTCAGCATTTGCCCTGACCCCCCCCCCCCCCCCCCATCCCGCATTCATTTTGCGCTGGTTGACCCCCGAGAGGTCGGCCTGATTGCGGCGCAGGTGCGTGCCCCACTTCTCGACGAGTTTGCTGCGCCTGATCGTGAAGCTCCGCTGGGCGCGGTACCTGATGCACGGGTTGGCCGCATCCTTGCACAGGAAACCTCTGTACTCGTTGCCGATCGTGGTGCCGGGCTTCGAGGGACGCTGCAGTCGTCGGGGTTCTTGCCAGTCGCTGCCTTGAAACTGGCGCGTGGAACGCCGAGCCAACACTGCTCGACGACGACCTTGAACTCGTCGCAGTCGTCCACTTCGCACTCCTCATCCCAACCCTTCGCCGAAGGGCCCAGCCTCGCGGCGTTCGCCGCGTTGAACTCCTTGTTGTAGGCCTCGTCGTCCTTGCGCTTGTCTGCCACCTCCTCGAACGTGCCATCTTCTACGAAACCTCCCTGCGAGTAGGTGCTCCAACAGTCCCCGCACTTGTTGCCGATCGGGTGGCCCTTCTTGTCCCTCTCCGCCCAGTGGCCGTGCTTCGGCTGAGCATTGCACATGTAGCACGGCGCGGCCACCAACTTGCGTCTCTTGAGGTCGCGTGCGTCGGTGGCCGCGGCGGCCGCTGAGGCCCGTCGAGGGCGCTCGGAGCAGTCGCGGGCGCTCAGGGCAGCTTCGGCGAGCTTCGAGCACCGCTTGACCATCCCACGGCTGGCGCGAACTCTAGTATAGTAGAGTGTATCTCTGTGAGGCGGGAGCCCTGTGAGTGCTGCGATCTCCCCGCGGGCGTGAGTTGGCCAACTCTGATCCTGAAAAAGCTATGCGAGCAAAGGTGCGACAGCAAACGGCACAGCAGGGAGAGGAGTTGACGGGAAGGGGGAGGCGAGGGGGCCAAGAGGCAAAGGGACACGATAGTTGGAGCCACAGATGCGCGTTTGGCGAAGCAGCCGCAGAACGGGCGAAACGCCCTTCACGCGTGCGCCATGGCCGGCGCCAGAGGGGGACCTTACGCGGGCAAGCCACACGTGATCAGCACTGATCTGGGAACACACACGTTACACACAGGACCCCAAACGCACGCCTCTCTCAAGAAGCATCGGGGGCGGGGGAGGGCGGGGCGGATTCGATCAGAAGTTCTCGGTTGCAAACAGCGTGCTCGCACGTATCCTTCCTAAGAGTTGACCTCGCGTGTCATGTTAGTATTGCTACTGCACTGAGACGGATAATTATGGGGGGGAGGGGGCCCCGCTCCAAGCAGACAACCTATTCCACCCTGTATGTATTATGGGTCCTTGCTTACCTGGGTGGCCTATGCCGCATGCGTCCCCGCGGCCACTCGCCCACCCCCCGAAGGCCCTTTGGAACCCAGTTTACCCGACCCCACCCGCCAGACAGGGCGCCCTTTCATCCGGTTGACGACATGCCTCCCCCCCCCCCCGTGATGTGTCAAAGGCAACGAGAATCGCAGCGTCTGTCGCTGGCGTCGGGCCGTGCCCAACAGCAGACGCAATCTGGGCACGCCTTCTCTTATCCGACCGCCAGCCAACAACGATCAATAACTCCTTTGTCCGTGAAGCTGCCTCGCGAGCCCGCGACCTGGAGCCTCCAGGTAGGACATAGTAGTCCCAATGGGGCGCGCGAGCAGTGCCTGCCCGTCCGAGAAGAAGACAGGGGCATCACCAAATGTAAACACTTGCAGCGCGAGGGGGAACGGAAGAAACGGGCGAAACTACAATCTTGGCCGCTTGGCCCATACCAGAAGTAAAAGAAAACCTGCCACAAGGGTCACGCCGAACATGCAACATTATGTCACCTTCAGATCGTTCAGAATGCAGACCTTGTTTCTAGCAGCAAATTAGTCTTCAGGGGGTCCAGTTTGGTTCGGGGAAGCTATACTATGCTTCGGTATGCTTCGAATACGAGACTTGACGCCCGCTGCGCTTCGCGCTGAGGGCTCATAGGGCTCAAAAGGGCTCAGAGGGCTCAGAGGGCTCTGACAGCTCATAGGGCTCATAGGGTTCATGGGGCTCATAGGGCCGAGTGGGCTCATAGGGCCCATTGTGCTCATAGGCCTAATAGGGCCCATAGGGCTCATATGGCATTCAGGGCTCATAGGGCTGGTAGGGCTCGCAGGGCTCATAGGGCTCATCGGTATCACAGGGCGCATCGAGCTTATACGGCTCATAGGACTCATGGGGCACATAGGGCTCGTAGGGCTCATAGAACTCATGGGGCTCGTATGGCTCAAATGGCTCATACGGCTCATAGGGCCCATCGGGCTCATAGGGCTCCGTGGGCTCATATGGCTCATATGGCTCATAGGCCCCATAGAGCCCATAGGGCCCAAAGGGCTCATAGGGCCAATAGGGCTCACAGGACTCCTAGGGCTCATAGATCCCATAGGGTTTATATGGCCCATGGGCTCATAGGGTCAAGAGGGCTCATATGACCCACAGGGCCCGCAGGTGCCATACGGCCCGTAGGGCTCACAGGGTTCATAGCGATCATGAGGCCATAGGATTCATATGGATCATAGGGCCATAGGGCTCATGGGGCCCATATGACTCGCAGGGCTCATCGTGCTCATACGGCTCGTCGGGATCATAGGGCTCATCGGGCTCGCACGGTTTATAGGGCCCATCGGGCCCATAGCGCTCATAGGGCTCAAGGGCACAGGAGGCTCATAGGGCCCATGGTGCACATAGGGCTTATAGTGCTCATATGGCCCATATGATCAATAGGGCTCACATGGTCATAGGGCCGAGAGGGCTCATGGGCCATAGGGCCGAGAGGGTTCATGGGTCTTACAGGGCCCGTAAGGGCCACGAGGCTCGCAGGGCTCATGGGACTCATCGGGCTCATAGAGCGTTTAGGGCTCATAGGGCGCATGGGGCCCATAGGGCTCATCGGGGTCGTAAGGCTCGCAGGGGTCATATGGCTCATAGGGCTTACATGGCCCGTGCGGCCCATGCTGCTCGCAGGGGGCATAAAGGGGGCCATGGGGCCAAGCTTTCTTTGGAGGTGCGCGAAAGTGCGGGGAAGGGGGGGAGGGCGCAATCCAGTCGACAGTCGGCACTGCGCAGTCCGAAGCAGCGGCGGCGAGGACTGGCGGCAGCGGGCGAGCGCCTTGCAGCGGGCCCGCCAGCGCGGGCGAGAACGGCCCCGAGTCCGAATTCCGAGACCAGAGCAAAACCGAGCCACCTCGCCGCCCCAAGGGCAGGGGAGGGGGGGCGTGGGCTGAAAAGCGGCCGCGGTGAACGAACCAACCAAGCCCGCCCCCGTGCCCATGCACCGCGGAGGGCGCCCCCCCTGCGCAACAGTCGCCGCAGAGGGAGCACTGCCCCCAGCGCCCCACGGCCGTGCAACAGGGAGGCGCCGACAACGCGCAGCAATGACAAGGACGGCCACTGGGGCCCCAGGCCGAACCCGCTGCGAGCGTCCGACAACCGCGGCCAGTGAAGGGGGGCGGGGCGACGGTCGAGGTGGACTGGCTAAACCAAGCCCACCCCCGCGCCCAGCCCACCCGCGAAAAGGGCGGCGCCTTGTGCAACTGTCGCCGCAGAAGGAGCGTTACCTCCAGCGCTCCACGGCCGTGCAATAGTGGGGCGCCGACAACGCGCAGCAACGGCAAGGACGGCCGCATGGGCCCCAGGTCGAGCCCGCTGCGATCGTCAGCCCACCGCAAGTGAACAGCAAGGCGTGCGAGCGACAACAATCGGCATCGCTGGTTTAGGCCCAGGGAAACAAATTGCGCCTGCTGCTGCCACATGAGGGGACGGGGCGACGGTCGATGTGAACTGGCTGGCCCAAGTCCAGCGCCGCCTGCTTGGCGGGGCCCCTCGGCCCGAGCTCCATGGCTGGCCGCGCGCCACCAGCACTGCCAATCAAGACAACAAGCACTAGACACCCCCGTGCCCCGCCCACCCCGCGGAAAAGGTTGCCCCCCTGTGCAATTGCCGCTGCAGGGCGTGGATTGCATCCAGCGCACCGCGGCCGTGCAACAGGGGGGCGCCGACCATGCGCAGCAGAGACGAGGGCGGCCAGTGGGGCCCCAGGCCGAACCCGCTGCGACCGCTAGGCTACCGCACTAAACGTTGGACACCCTGGCATAGCATAACAGATTGAGGACGACCAGGGTGGCCAGCCTAGACCCTTACGAAACCTTTTTTAAGAGATCAACCCTGGTACCCGAGATACCCTTACACTACTTTTAAAGCCACATGTATGAAGATACCTTCTAAGAGACCCTCTGAGGGACCCGAGGCACCTAATAGACACAGAGACCCCTACGGGCCCCACTAGACCAACTATGACCCGAGACCCTTGAGAAACCCTTACGAGACCTTACCTCAGATACCGTGACCATCCGAGAGACTTGCCCCCCCCCCCCCCCCTTCCCCGTCCACCTTCCCGAGGCCCAGAGACCCTTGCGAGACCCCTAGTGACCAGCCGAGAGACCCGAGGCCCTTAGGAGGGCCCGCGGGCGCGCGGATGGCGGTGGGGCGGCGGGGGAGGGCGGGCGCGCGCGCTGGGGGAGGGGGGGGGGGGGGGTGCTGCGGGAAGATGCGCTGGGCATCCTAAGTGCGCGCGCGCGTTTCGGCGCGCGCGGGCGGGCGGGCGGGCGCGGGGGGCGAACGGGGTGCGGGCGCAAGGGGTGCCGAGGATGGGTGCCCCACGATGCCAACTCAAGCTTGGGCCGCGCAGTCGGCGCGGCGTGGGTTTGGGGGGGGGGAGGGGGAGCGGGCGGGTGAACGCGGTGAACGGATTGGCGGGGGGTGGTCGAGCAAGGGCGGCGTCGGTGGCGGCTGCGGCGGCGGCTGCGGTCGAGACAGCGGCGGCGGCGGCCGCGGTGGCAGCGGCGGCGCGCGGGCGCGCGCGCGGGGGCGGGGAGAGGGGAAGAGAGGCGGCGTGAGGGGCGCCAGCGCTGAACGCCTGGGCGGCGCGCGGACGCGCGCACCACGCGCGCGCGCACGCGCGCACAACGCGCGCACAAGCATGCATGCAGGCGCACGCGCACGCGCACACGCACGCACGCACGCGCGCACGCGCGCGCGCGCCCGCGCGCGCACATACAGACATACAGACAGACATTCAGACATACACGCACGCCCCAACACCATCACCTCCAACTCCCCCCTCTCCCCCCCCCCCCCCCCCCGCGGTCCACCATCCCCCCGCCCCCTCCCCCCTCCTTCCTCTCCCTCGCGCCGCCTTCGCCCTTCCACACTCTCCCAGCGCTCTAGCTCAGCGCTTGCGCCCGCTCCTTTTCGCCCCCCCCCCCGCCGCCGCCCGCTCGCCCCCCCCCCCCCCTGGCCCTTCTCGCGCCCGTGCGCCCATCCTCCCTTCCCCCCCCCCCCCGCGCTCCTCTCTCTCTCTCGTCTCTCATCTCTCTCTCTCTCTCTCTCTCTCCTCTCTCTCTATCTCTCCCTCGCTCTCTCTCGCTCTCTCCCTCTCTCTTCTCCTCTATCTCTCTATCCTCTCTCTCTCTCTCTCTCCTCTCTCTCTCTTCTCTCCTCTCTCTCCTCTCTTCTCTCTATCTCTCTCGTCTCTCTCTCTCTCTCTCCTCTCTCTCCCAACACCCCCCCCCCTTCCGCGCGCCCCAAGTACCTCGGCGCCGCGCCCGCCCGCCCGCCCGCGCGCGGCACCAGCGGCGGTGGCGCGCGGGAGGGGGGGGGGGGGGGGTTCGCGGGCCAGGCGAGGCGGC